CCGCCTAGTCTGGTTACTTATATATCCTTTTAGGAGGAGCCGATACTTTTTTATTACGACGGCAATATAATTGGCTAGTATTCCTTTAAGGACTTTATCTATTATACTAAGAAGTGATATTAATCGCTAGCCCTTTACTATCTTATAGTTAGCTAGCGGCCGGCCTTCCTTCCTAAAGACTATTATAGTAATATAGCGGCACCTCTTCGGGTAATAGCCTATCTTAAGGCATGCTATAAAGATAGTACTTAGTCTTTAGTATAAAGGAGGTCTATACGCTTTTAGAAGCCCTGCTAAGAGTTTATTAGGCCTTAGTACTATAACTAAGTAAGGTCTAATAGTATAAAACTAGACCGTCTAGATAATATAAATTATAATAGATAATCCGAAGATAGATAGATTAAAATCTAGAATATAGAAACATCGGATAAAACGGTCATTATATAATCCGGATCGGTTATATATATCTCTTTAACCTAATTAACCGGTTTAGTCCCCTAACTTAATTAGTTAGAAAATAAGCGGCCGACCTAATTAGTTATTCTAACTCTAATAACCGATCTACGCGGTTATAGTACCGCCTAGGGTTTAGTCTTTTTAAGACGCCCCTATATATCCGCTACGGTAATATCGCGGCGGATATCCTATTTAGGGGGAAATTCTACGCTTAGGGGTCTAAGAGAGGTAAAAAGGGGGGGTAAAAAGAATTTCCGGTTAAGGACTTTAGCTTTCTCTACGTGTATAGTGGCTAGGTTATTACTATTATCTTAGTATAGTAGCGGTACCGATAAGGGGTTTAGTAGTGCCCCCCCTTTTATTTATACTTATTTCTATAATCACTAAAGGAGGTTATCGTTTTTCTTAGTCGTATAGAATAAGTATTATTAGTATAGACGTTTTATTACTATTATAGCCTTATTATAGTATCTCTTTATTTCCTAGAACTTATCCTATCGGTTCCGGGACTTCCTAGATATATATCTATAGTAGAGGCGCCTCGTTTCCTAGGTAAAAGCAGTTAGCTCTATATTCTACTAAGGGGTAGGTAAGAGTTTAGAGGTGCCCCCGCGGTAGCGCTATATAATCTTATCGGCTAGGGTTATAAAGGCCTTAATTAGATTATCTACTACTAAGTCGATATCTTCTAGTATTATAAAAGAGCTAGTCTACTATAATTATATAGCGGCGAGCTAGGGGACCTATAAGAGGTTAAAGTCCTTTTAGACCTAATAGGGCTTACCTAGGTTATATAGTAGTATTATCGCGGCGCTCGGCACGGTATCTATCTCCGTGTAGATTTAGCTATCTATAAGTAGTAGTCCGACCCGATAACGGTCTTATCGGGGCCGCCGAAATCGTAGCGGAGCCTTTATATCGCCTATATAAGGTTAATAATACTAGCACGCCTACCCGGGCAGTACTATATAGTAGTTCCGGTAGGGGGTTACTAGGTCTAGGTTTTACCAGGTTATAAGGGTAAGCAGAGTATTAGCCTAGAGGTAATATTATAATAGCTATAACTATAAAGGGTAGTATAGATTAAAGTCCCCTATAAAACTATAGCGGCCCCGGAGCGGTACTATATCGAATATATCTTATAAGGGTATATTCTAAAAGGTCCTAGCTAACTAATAATTCTCTAAGTAGATTAACTAAATTATAATAGCGTTATCTCTAGTCCTAAATATAACCGCGTAGGTATTATAGTAGGCCTGCTATATCTATATATATAGCGGGTATCTTATATATATATATATAGAAGGGCGTGGCCTCCTCCTTAGATTAGCCGGTATACCCCCTAGAAGGGGTAGGTAAGGCTTTTCGTAAAGGGGTTTAGGCCGGGTTCCTAGATTACTATTATATTATACTTAGCGCGGCACCGAAGTAAAAGCTCCCGCCGCGCTTAACTCCTCCCTATATTCTATAAAAGGATATAGATTCTTATTAGTTAGAAAGAGGGGTTAAGATAATATACCCGGTATAACCGGGGTCTAGCTTTAGGGTTTTTACTACGGTATCTTACTAGTCCCGCGGGGGATTATATAGGCGCTTATTAGGCCCGGTATCAGGGAGCCCTCCTATCCTCTAATTCTTTTCGGGGGCTATTCTCTACCTCTATAAAAGGGTCGGTCCTAGTCTTAGGCGATAATAATTAGGGGGAAGATCTATGGGTACTATAGATATACCGCTTTAGTCTAGCGGGTAATATTAAAGTCCTTAGCTCGGTACTTATATATTTCGCGGGTCTTTTTAGCCTCTTTCCGTAATAGCCGGTATAAATCGTTAAAGGTAATATAATCTTTAGTATAAGCAGTATAATAGTAGGGGCGCCCGGGCGCTATAGCGTTATAGTATCCTAGGCCTTATAAGTATGCTAATTTAGGCTCAGTACAGTAGCGATATACTCTTTCCATTATAGAGTAGTTATTAGCCTTATAGCTAAAGTACAGGTATTTATAGTACTTTAGGGGGCTAAGGTTAGGATTATATAGTTTATAGATATAGCTACCCCTCTGATAAAGGAGGGTATTCCGGATATAGCTAGCTACCCTTTCCGATAAAGCCGATTTAATAAGAAGAAGTATTACCGTACTAATATTATAATAGGGTATTTACTATTATACTCGGAGGATTTTAGCCTTAGGATTTATATCTTATAAGGATACTAGTAGGTCTTTTT